ACTTAAGCATTGAGTTTAAGAATGATCTTAATTCCGTATCGCTATCCTTAACGCCGTAAAACAACTCCGGAGCTAGCTCGTCTTTTTTTTAAATCAATTGCATAACGCGTTGAAATAAAATAAGATCGTAATCAGCTTCTTTAAATTTAGTATTCTTTTCGAATCTTTTTATATTCTATTAAGCGGCTAAACCCGGCAATTCGTATTTAATTTTATCGGTATTTGTTTTAATTTTAGCTCGCTAATACTTTTTTTTATTAAAAGAAAAGTAAACGTAAAGAGGCTTAATTAGATGAAGATTAAAAGTTATTATAGGAATAAGGGGATCGGAGTTAAGGACTCGATCGGGGATAAAGGTGGCCCGTGCTTGGCACGTGCACCCTTAGCATAGCAACCACCCACATATAACTGCATCTCGCAGCTAGAATAGCTTCCTTCTTCCTTCAGGCTTAACAACACCACGAATGCAACCACTTGCTATTCGTATCAAGTCTTACGTATACACCTTATTATATAACCAACATTAATCAATAGTTAAATTCACACTTAACCACAAATAAGCTAAGTACAAAAAAGAAAAGGTAGTTTTTGCTCTCTTAAAAGTATTAACTACGCTACAAGCAACCGTTAGTTCTTAACAAGTCTAGCGGAAACCTAATATAATTAACAGTACTATCACTAGTTGTAGCGTTTATCACGCAACCACTACCGCTAATATAACGGACGACAGAAACAAAAACCCCTTCTCTTACGAATTCGAAGACCTTCCTCCTCCCTCTTTTTTAAAAAAATTTATTCGACCTTTAGCAAGTAGCTTCGAAAAACTCGAATAGACTCTTCGAAGCAAATTCAAAGTCGACCGAGAGGTATAAAAAGCTAATGATTTTAACCCTTCCGACAAGACTAAATAAACTTAAAGTTGCGTTCACTTATATATCATCCGAGCTTTCGATATATTCAAAGATAATTATCGCTACGCTACAAGTGACAATTTATAAAAGATATACTAAAGCTTCTTCGAAAGATAAACTAAACTATTATTTAAGCTAAATCACATCACAATCTTAAGATACTTATACAATCACCTCTTCGTCTATTACGTATAAATAAAAGATTCAAGAAGTAGCGTAAGCTATACTTTAGCTTTTATTAAACTACTTCACAAATCGACATTTCTTATATTTCTACTTTACGAAAAAGCAAAACGAGAAAAGCGACTTAATTTAATAACATACAAACTTGCCGTTAAACTCCCACCTTCCTCTTTACCTTTTACACCTCTTACACCGATACAACTTACTATACGACCACTCTTTTTATCGATACACCTTTAACTGTATCGACCTTTACCTCCGAATAATATACAATTCGATATACTATTCGATAAGCAACCTTATCAATAGCAAAGACAATAAAAATTTATCTTTAACCTTCGACTACCTTTTGACCTTCGATTATAACCCTTACTATCGATTTACCCGGCCTTATCTCGACTTCTATCCAACTTATTAATTCATAAACAACTTTACGTACTACTTTTCGAATACCGCGAATATCAAAGACGAAAAGCAAATAAAAGTAAAAGCGAAAGTAATAATAGTAAAAGCAATTATACGAAGGACTCTTATTGCAAAGACAATTACAAAAGAAGTAAAAAAAGAGGTAAAAGAAAAAGTAAAAGAAAAAGTAAAAGAAAAAGTAGTAAAAGAAGAAGAGGTAGAAGCGATAATAAAAAAGACCTTGACCAATCAGCTAAAAGAGGCTAAAGATCAAGCCTAGCGCAATTGATTAGCGGACTTAATAAAATGTATAAACATAAGAAAGAGCTCAAATATAATAAAAAAATATAAAATATACTTTTCGTAAAGCTGAAAAAGTTCTATAGCTTGTACGAAACATACGATATCTCTTTTGCCTTATACGCTAAAGCTTTCCTTATTATGCTTACCGGAGCAGCAAACGCTTACTATATCGATTAAATAGCTAGCAGAAGCTATAATTTCGAAGCTATAACACACTTTATAGCTTAACACTTCGAAACCGATAAGAACCGAAAGCACTATATAAGCTTATAAAGAACTACTACATTCGCTAGTGTTATTATAAACAAAAAGAACATTAAAAAAACTCGACTAAAATGCTTAAAGATTACGATAAAGCTTTTAAAAAGCTGTTAGCAAAGCCTTACACTCGAATACTAGACCGATAACGTATTGCGCGATCAACTTATTAGCGCTTGCAATAAAGTCGAAGAATACAGACTAGCAATGTTTAACCTAACTAATACATACGAAAGAGTTGCTGCTCAATTACGATCAGCAATCGGTATTATTTAAAAAGAGCGCCAAGTACTCGAATACACAGCTCTTCTTATTATATACTATACTTCTAACGACCACAATTGCGATATTAATTGCAATCACGAGACTTATTACACCGATCGAAACTATAGAAGATCAAGTAAAAGCTATAACCGTAGCTCAAGAAGCTATAATCGCGGTAATAAAAGCAAAAGTAAGAACAAAAGTTTTACACGTAAAAGAAGAAATAAAAGCTTTCGCGGAGATAAAAAGCTTAAAGTATGCTTTATCTACGGCAAGCCCGACTGCTAGTTTACAAAACATTCTTTCGAAAAGCGAAAACGCTTTTACGACGAGTACAAAAAAAGCGCTATATATTACACTACTTAACCAATAACTTTAGCTTATTTCGCAAGCTTTTTAACAGATTACGAAAGAGTAAAAGGTATTTCAAACGAAGAAAATCATTAAAATCAAGCAATATACGCTACTGAAAACTATTAGTACGACGAATATAATCGTAATAACCGCAACTACTTCACTCAAACCTTTCTCACTAAAGCTAAAAAAGTGACAAGCGCCGAGACTATTGCAATTTTGCAAAAACGCTTAGCTTACTACGCTTTCACCACCTTAAACGCTATAAACCTTTTAATTAAAGAAGACGAGACCGTTCTATTAAAAACCTACATTTTACACTCTCGGTATTCAGCTTACCGATTCTAAAAGTTCCTTTTCGATTCGGGAGCTATAAGTAAGTCTTTTGCAAAAGAAGCATAAGTAAAAGCTTTCTAGCACTACTTACCTGAACTACAAGTAATTACTACTTAAAAAGGTACTATCAGCTTCAGCGAAACCCCGGCTACTATCAAAAGAACCGTAGAAGTATAAACACCAATTAACAAGATTGTTTTTTATATAATCAATACTAACACCCTTTTCTTAATCTATTTAAAAGACATAGATTCTCTTAGCGTATATTTTAATAATCTAAAAAACTTGCTTATACAAAGCTATAACAGCGTGCTAATTATTAAAAAATAAAGCTACCTATTCTTACTACTTAGTCAGCAAAAAACTATTATATATTACTTCACCGAAAGAGAATTGCGTTAAATTCATCGCCGCTAAAAACACCCTTTAATATAGCGTTTTGCTATTACTTTTAAAGCTGCAAGTAAAGAATTTAAAACCGACATCTTCGAAAAGATTATTAAATACTATGCGCAATATCAACTATATAAGCAAGCTTTTCGCAAATTCAAAATCTCTTTAAAAAATAAGTATAAATTCAACTATTCGATTATTATTAACATTATATATATTAACGAAGACTTCGTACTACATATCGTAGACTCAACTATAAGCTACGGTTTTAAAAGATTCCTTAAGAATATAATTGCAAAACACGTATAAAATATAATACGTTACTATTAAATCGATACATACTTAAGCCTTTTAAATATAATCGTAATAAACGCTAGAACTAACTTAAGCTCTTAAGAGTTTAAATAACAAGCAAAATCGATAAATATTAAAATCAAAGTAGTCTTAATAAAAGCTTACAATAGCGTCGGAAAAGTAAAGCGCTATTATAGCCTTCTCCGAAGAATATATAATATTTTAAAAGAGGAATTAGCAAGTGAAAGAGTTAATAAGCACATAATACTTTAAATAGCTTTTAAAGCTATCAACGATATAGCCGGCCCCGGAAGTATTATCTTTACATTGCTCGTATACGACGCATACTTACGCTTTTTTAAAACAGATTCTTTAGCATTATCTATAACAAAAAAACGAAAAGCTTTTCGAGTTGCAATTAAAAAGATTCGTCGACTACAAGCTAAAAGAAAAGTCAAAGACGCTTTAGCAATGCGAAATAGACCAAATACTTTAAAAACCTTCAACTTCCTTTTGCAATCAAACGTCAAAGTCTATAAAGAAGTAAAAAGTAAACTAAGCAAAAGCGAATAGACTAGACCGCACAAGCTAATTGCACGTAAAAACGAGACCTACAAGATACTCGTAAACGACCGAATTAGCGAATTCCGCTTAATAATTATCAAACTATATTATAATACACTTTTAAACACGCTAAACCTCGAATTCTTACTACCGAACCGGTCACTTAAAGCTAAACTACTACCGGTCTAGCTTACAAAACAACTTACTACTTTAGCCACTAGAATTAAATCACGCCCGCGTAAACCGAAAAGCAGTTTAACAGTTCGCCACAGCTCCCGTCACTTCTTTACAAGTATAAAAGAATTTAAAGATTTTAACGAGCAATTTCTCAATCACAAGAGTAATATCATCATAATATTCCTTACTTATAAAAAAAAAGCTGATATTGCGCTCTTTACAAAGCTTAAAAACAAAAGAGTTATCACTACGCCCGGCGAGCAATTCGTAGAATCACGCTTCTAAAAGCTAAAAGGCTTAATAAAGAAAGAAGTATTTAAAGTTATAGAATACAACCTTGCAATCTACGAAACAAGCCGCATATTTAACTCTCGAATAATCGATAAAGTCAAAAGCAAGAATACCTTCGAACTATACGAAAAATCACGCTTTATTATTCAAGCTTAAAGCGACGAAAACAAATATAATATTCTTATTCAATCCTCGACTATTCAGCGCAATAACCAGCGTTTAATGATTTCCTTAGCCTTATTCTTAAAATCCTTCAATCAAGCAATAATGTCTTTACGAAATATTACTCAAGCTTACGTATCGAGTTAGCGTTATCTCGAGCGTATGATCTTAGCGTATTTGCTTAAAGACCTTTAATATTTATACCCTCCGGGCTATATCTTATTAATTCGTAGACCTTTATACGAGATTACAAAAGCAAATACCTATTAGTAAGACACTTATTATAAACACTATAAAAATAAGCTATTTATAGTCTCTTCTATATACGACCCCTATTTATTAATCTTTACAACTAGCAAATTCGCTATCATTAAAATGCAAACAGACGATACGCTAATAATAGCTGATAAAAAGTTCAATAACTTGAAAGAGCAAAAGCTTGAAAAAGCTGATTTTAACGCTAAACTAAAAAAGACGCTTACAATAGAAAACGAAATGACATTCAATAAAAGAATACTAAAGAAGTTCGCTAATAGCTCGATTCTACTTAAGCAAAAAGACCAAAAAAAAAAGCTAGAGCTAATTACCGAAAATAAAGACAACTACCTAAAGCAACGAGCACGTGCAGCTTATATTGCAAGCTTATATCAGCCCGAAGCTATTTTCGACTTATCTACCGCCGCGCAGATTCAACAAAAAGACCTCACTTTAAACGATATTACCTTCTTAAACAAGAGAATTACATAAATAATAGAAAACCAACAACGAAGTTTACTATACTTTAATATCGATTTACGTTTAGCGAAGCTGTTCGTATTCGTAGACGAAAGCTTTGCTAACAACAAAGATTGCAGCTTACAAATTAGTTTTCTAATTATCTTAGCAATCGAAGAAAAGTTTAACAGCTCCTTTCTCATCTAAAGGAACCTTATTGCTACTAATTCGATAAAATGCAAGCGAGTAACACGCTCCGTACTTGCTTCGGAAATCTATAGCATAGTCTCCGGTATAAATATTACTATTTACGTAGCTACTACTTTTAAAATAATTACCAACAAGCTAGAAATCCTCGAGGTTTTTATAATCGTTTATACCGACTTATATTCCTTTTACGAATGCCTTATCAAGCTCGAAACCACTAAAGAAAAGCGCTTAATAATCGATATTATAGCCTTTAGATAATCATACGAGCGTCGAGAGCTTGCAAAGGTCAAATAGATTAAAAGAAAAGATAATTTAACCGACTCTATAACGAAAATCAACTTAAATAAATCGTTAGCGACCTTTATTAATACGAACAAAGCCAACGTACGTATCGAAAGCTAAATAGAAAGAGCATAAAAAAGTCAAGCCGAATTTAAAAAGAACGGCGATAGTATTTTTTACCGACAACGTTAAAAATGAAAAAGCTATTTTTACTTGTATTAAAATTGCAATTGCAATTGCAACTACTGCAATTGCAAAAGAAAAAATTGCGAATATAAAAATAAAAGGATCGGAGTTAAAGACTCGATCGGGGATAAAAGTAGCTCGTGCTTAGCACGTGCACTTTTAACATAGCAACCACCCATATATAACTGCACCTCGCAGCTAAAATAGCTTCCTTCTTCCCTCAGGCTTAACAACACCACGAATGCAACCACTTGCCATTCGTATCAAGTCTCACGTATACACCTTATTGTATAACCAACAATTATAATATTAGTTTAGTTGATTAAAAGCATAATAAAATGAATTCTTACTTAGTTCGTTTTGAAACCGTGCTTGCTAAGTCTTAAGCTATCAATTTAAAGAAAGCTTTTTTATTTTTTAAATTAGCAGCTCGGCATTTTATTAATAAAGATCGCGCTACACTTTGTTAGTAGCGACGAAATTGCTAAACGGTTATTATATAACGTGACTTTATATTATTAATAAAATATAAATATTTAAATGAAATAAAAGCTTACTTATGCGTGCTAACGTGCTAATTGCCGAGTGACTTTTTTTATTTTTTTATCGATAATCGAGACGTATTTATCGCGAAGTATATTATTATTATTTTTTTCGTTTTTTCGCAAATTTAATTTCTTATAAACTTCTTCGTTTAAATTGAATGCTTTATTAATTTAATCGTTATTTAAGTATTTTTTATTATTAAATTTAATTGTAAAAGAAGCGGCTTGCATAATAAGATTATCCGCGTAAATGCTTCGATTCTTTTTAAAATCGATTAGTAAATTGCTTAGTAAATTAAAGAAAAGAAAAAGTACCGTTTATTTATAAGATTCTTTCGCATTTCGGCTTATCGAGTTTTCTTTTCAGCTTTTAATGCTTAAGAATATTTTAAAGTTTATTTTTAAATTGCAGAAAGCTGATTAGCGGCCGCTTGATTTCGTCTTTTAGCTTTTCGAAGCTTATTTGCTTAAGGATCTTGTTTTAGCTTTACTATACGAGCATTAGCTTTTATCGTATAAAGATTGGTTGATAATTAGCTTCTTTTTAGCTTTCTTTTTTAAAAAAATTAATAAATTAATAAAAGTTAAAATATTACGTAAAAAAGATACTTACTTTGCGTTTGCTAAAGTTTTTTAGCATCGGATTGCTTGCTGCTACGATTGCCGTCGTATCGGCCGCATTTTAAGAAAGACGTTTTTAATTAATAAATAAATTAGTAAATAAAAAAATGATTCTTATTATAGATTTTTTAATTTTTTTTATTAAATTAAGCTGATTTGTATTTGCAATAATACTTTTTATCGAATCAAGCTGATAAGCGGCTATATTAAATAGTATTATAAAGAAGCTAAACGTTAAAAGTAATTGTTTAAAGTAAAATTAAAAGTAATAGAATAAAAGTATTAAAGTTAAAAGTAAACTCGTACATTTTATTTTTAAAACATTTTAACGCGGCTGCTAGTAAATTTACGAAGTGATAAAGCAGCCGCAGCTAAGATAAAGCGGCCGCAATTAAAATAAAGCGGCCGCTCCGCGCAATTTTTACTTTATAAAGTAAAATCTGATTTCTTTTTATTATTACTTAGTAATCAATTACAATTATCGCTTTTTTATTTGCTACGCTTTTAAATACAACGCTATTTATTGCTTTGTAAGGTCGTCTCTTTTTTATTTAAAATTATCAATTTATTAATCGTAAATTAGATTATCGCGATCAGGTCTTTTTATTAATATTTTCAAATAGCCTCTTTATTAAACGAACCTTTGCTTTCGGACCGACTTCTTTTTATCGATATATTAAGCATTACGGCTAAAGGAGATGACGCAAGCTAAGATAAGTTAATTAATAAAGCAATTAAGAATCAAGCGATTAAAGGTCAAGCGGCTAAAGGTTAAGCGGCTAAGGGTTAAGCGGCTAAAAGTTAGGCAAATAAGGACGAAGCATAAAAAGGTGAAGCAGATATAATACGCGGCGAAAGCGTAAAAAAAGAAAACTTAAATTTGCAAAGTAAATAAAGTAAGTTTATATTTAATTAATCGGAGTACTATTAATACTTTTTCAGTTATTTTGCTTAGCGCAAATCTTTATTTTTAGTTTAGCAAAGCTTAATTAGCTACGGATGCGCTAGACTTTACTTTTGTTAAGCGCCGCGCTATTATAACTCGATAGCTATCCGGTTAGTATTTAATTAGTAAATTAATTAGTAAATTAATTGCAAATAGCTGATAAGCATTTATAAAAATTTTTAACTTTATTTTTGTTAAGCGCCGCGTTATTATAACTCGATAGCTATTCGATTAGTATTTAATTAATAAATTGATTAGTAAATCAATTGCAAATAGCTGATAAGCATTTATAGAAATTCTTAAAACTTTGCGCGGTATTGCAAGTCTATAATAAAGAACCGATTTATCTCCGTCCTTTTTTCGCCGAATTTTTTAAAGTTAAGCTAATAAGTATTAATTACTTTATTAATTAATAATTGCTAATTTTTATCATTTTAAGTAACGCTTTTTAAATACTAATAAATTCTCGCGCAAATACAGACTAGCACTTATTATTTTTTAAATTTCGATCCGGTAATGTTTTTGACTTATGATTAGTAAATATTTATTAATTAAATTTTTCTTTAGCAAACGCAATTAGATTTACTTCGGCTATTTAATCCGAAATGAATAAAAGCATCGTTTTTAATAATACTAGCATAAGTACTAATAGCTTTTAATAAGTTTAATCTTTTTAAACCTTTTTCTTTCGTTTGTTAATTATTTTAAAATTGCTTTAAAAGCAATATAATAATCGACGAGCTAAGCGAATGCATTAGCTTAGCTTTAAAACGAAGATCCGTCTTACGACTTAAGTGCTAGAAACAATTCTTTTACAGCTGCTAAACCTTTTTTTGCTTTTATTAGCAATCGCATTAAAAAAGCTTTTGCGTAAAAAGCTTTTAAAAAGTCTCTTATTATCCCGGGCCTAATTATAATTATAAAAACCGCGACGAGGACGATGCTTTATAGTGATATAAATAAAAAAGAGCAAAGCGATAATAAAAAAAACTCAAGTGAAAATGATATTCTTCTTTTTTAATACAAAAGAGTTAAAAAATCACTTTCGACGGCTAAAGCTGTTCGCTCTGTTTTATTAGCTAGTAAATTACTTTCGGCAGTTAAAACTTCTTTTTGTTAAAAATCTAAAAAAGGCAAGTATTTTAAAAAGTCTGCAGTTGTTACGAAAAAAAGAGGTTTAAGCTAACGAAAGCGCCGTCGCTATAAGCTAAGAAGTAAGTTTAATTAATTAATAAATTGATTCTCAAGTATAATTATTGATTTATATAGCTATTGCGTTAAAAGAGATCTGACGATATTAAAAAGGCATCGAGCTTTTTATTAAAAAGACTTTTTTTTAGCGTTTTATTCGAAAGATCACTTACGATTTTAAATAAAACTTTAAATTTTAAAGCGGTGCTTTAAAATGTTTATAAAAAGCTTTAAAAGCATTCTTCGTAAAAGAGTTTGAAAGTAAATATTTATATATTTATTTACTAATCGATTTATTAATCGATTTACTAATCGATTTATTAATCACTTTTAATAACGAACTTATATACTATTCACGCTAAACGAGTAACGATTTAAAATAAAGATATAGCGTTGGTTAAGAAATTGCAAGAAATCATAACTAGAAGTTTTGTTTAGTAATTTTAGTTTATTATAATATAATGCAATATAATTATAAAGTATAATATATATAATTAATAAATATAATAAATAAATATAATGATTAAGTAAAATTAGTAAATATTCGTAAATTTGTTTTATTTTTAGCGGCCTTATATATATTATTTTTAGCTGTCCTATTTTAAACTTATAAGGTTTCTTTATCCTTCGTAAAGAATTTGACTTAAAAAAATCCTTTTTATAGGGTTTAAAAAAAAAAGTCCCTTATCGGCCAAGACCTTATGGGAGGAATGGGGAGGAAAACCCTATGGGGCCCCCACCCCATGGAGCAGCCTAATAAGCTCGATTGCTTAATCTTTAAGCGTTAAACGATTGCTTTTATTTAAGCTGACTACTAAGTAGCGCTAATACGCTTTATTAACGGCTTTATCTTTACTATTAATTTTGCAACGGAATTATTAAAGCTTATTAACGACTTTTTTATCTTTTCCGAATACTTCGATTACGTATACGTGTTCTTTAAAGCCGCTAGCAACGTATTAGCATTATATAAGCTTTACGATTATAAAATCGAGCTTTTCGAAAAGAGAAAAAAAGCGCTTCGATACTTATTATTATATAAGATATCGATC